GCAGAGGCCTAGAAAATCATAATGTGTAATGATGAATAACTGATGAAATCTAGAAAATGGAGTCATGATTAAATGGGTGATTGCTGTTAACGGAGTAATATTTAAATAGACTTCTGTACGAAACAGCAGATTATAACTTAAACACCTGAACACTTGGGAATATCCCAGACAGCAATAGATGAGGCTGTACACGCTGCACTACATAGTTCCTTACTATCCTCGTGATCCATATTCATAGCGAGCATCCACGAACCAATGGTAACATCCTCATTGCTAAACATTCGGAAACTGTAGCATGATATAGAAATAAATATATGCAACATGTCCAGATGTTGCATGCAAATGATAGGATGAAGAAAATTAATCAACACTATGCACCCAGATATTTTACAGAAATGCAAGCATATCACATAAGAAAAATCGTTAATGATGTTGGTGCTATCTTTAACCTAACCACATGGTTCTTTTTGTTTAAACAATATAGCTAGACATGCCATGAAGCAACACGATACATCCCAAAAAATCTCTTTGTCAATAAGATATATTATATAATATAAGTTCATAAGCTTACAAGGTAAGGGCTTGCATTTTTCAGTTTACCCACATCAAGCCAGAAATTTAACCAATATGCAAATAGAAAAGGTAGTGGATGCAATTATTTACCCAAAAAAAAAAAAAACAGACGAGTCAACATATAAATATTTTACTGAAGGGGGAGCTACCACATATGCATGCTGCAGGCACTTATTTTCTAAGCATTTCTTTGGTTCACACAGTTAAAAAGCTATGCAGGTCTGCTCTCATTTGCATAGTTGATATTCTCATCGCTTAAGATAATTATGACTAGAGGCAATCAAGAACTTGCAGAACGACTCCTGATGTCAAAGTTCCATTTTGAAGGTAGCTCATGGAACTAGACATGTTCCCAGTTAAAAAGCCACTGGTTTTTTTAACCGCCGGTTACGGTTCGCTGAAAATCGTGAACCGTAACCTTAACCAGCAAGGACCTGTTTTTGGCCGGTTTATTAACCTTTGGTTACGGTTACGGTTACAGGACATTTCTTTTTTAAATAAAAAATGAATAGGAAAACTGTCAGTTTAAACCGAAACCGCCGGTGGTTAACCAACGGTTTGGCCAGTTTCCCCCCCTAAAATTTTGTTTTATTAATAAACCAGTTGTTAACCACCGTTCAGGGAACAAACCTTAACTGAACTGCCAAACCACGGTTCCAGTTCCGGTTCCGGTTGCGGTCAACAGTTAACCGAACCGTTGACCACGGTTAAAAACCCGGAACATATCTACATGCAACCTCATTTAATGCTTCTGCAGTCTTATTATGGAATGCTTAGGTTCACCAAAACGACTTCATTTGGTATTTAATATTTATTAGTGTATGGAAGTAGCTAAGCATTCCAAGCAAGATATTCTTTTTCAGTTATGAGTCAGATCCTTTTCTGGAATGAAAAATAGCCTTTATAGTTGCAGTTCTGCGAACGAGATACTAAAGAAAGGAGGTAAAAGAATAACAACAATGACAATAACAGAGCAGCAAACTTAGATATATCTGAGGACAGCATTCATGGAAAATAGATTGCAAATATAACTAACCTGTTATTTCTTAAAGCAGCCAAGTTCACCACAACATCTGCTGAAAGAGCATAAATTGGTCCATATGCATGAAGAAAGTATTCCTTGCCGAGCAAGTATGACAAAGGTTTATACCTGTATGCATCTAAGTGAATCTATCATCTACGTATCAGAGAAAAGCTTGTTCTGTCTTTATGTCATTCAGTCATACTAATATTGTGTGGAATATTATCACTAAGGTTTGTGCTTACATAATAGTTTTTGTTAAATATACAATATACGTGTGCATACTATCTAAATTGTTGAACCAAACAAAGTGTCATGCATGCAACACCAACATGAGAACCATTTTCTGTTCAAGCGTGCTCTATTAGCGAATAAATATGCATGTACAACTCCAACATTCCAATTTCCTGCGGTTATGAACCCATTAATGATATATGCTTTTGTTGCCTATTATTTTAGAACTTGAAGCTTTATCAAAAATGAGTTTCTGATTCTATGCTTTTATGACTTTTTTGTATGATGATACCTTGTTGGTTACTTTGGTCTGGTCTTGCTATCATAACACTCATAGCATGAGTACACTATATAAGAAGCATGTGCCTTTAAAATCTCATGAATAGAAATAATAAGTCATGGAATTAAGTACTCGGATGTTTATGTTAAGAAATGTATTACATTGACAGAGAAACGGAATATCTATCTTGATGTACCTACTAACCAATTTTTATTTCTAGTATCGAGTAGGATCCAACCTTATAGCTATTTTTTTACAAGTCTCGGGTGCTCATCTAAATGTATTTA